CACGGGTATCGAAACTCGTTTTGTAGCGTTGTAAGTCCGCAGACATACTGCTGCGCCGATACAAGTTTGTGAGAAAATCAAAATGTATTTATATACATTTATGTTGTTAAGCATAAAGTTACACTATGGACTCTCTGTACAAATGCACCACGGGTACCAAAATTGGGTTTTAAGCCTTCAAACTTACTGCTGAACCTGCAAACAGAACATATTAATTTCAACAGTGACTTTTCCTATACGCATCAGAAAATGTTTTACCTTTTTATACGTTTTAGAAAAACAAAAACATTAACGAATATTGATATTCTAACCTTCAGAACTGATTAACAACTGGGTTTTCGTATTCTAACATTCAGAACTGATTAACAACTGGGTTTTCGTATTCTAACATTCAGAACTGATTAACAACTGGGTTTTCGTATTCTAACATTCAGAACTGATTAACAACTGAGTTTTCATATTCTAACATTCAGAACTGATTAACAACTGAGTTTGCTCGTATTCTAACCTTCAGAACTGATTAACAACTGGGTTTTCGTATTCTAACATTCAGAACTGATTAACAACTGGGTTTTCGTATTCTAACATTCAGAACTGATTAACAACTGAGTTTGCTCGTATTCTAACCTTCAGAACTGATTAACAACTGGGTTTTCGTATTCTAACATTCAGAACTGATTAACAACTGAGTTTTCATATTCTAACATTCAGAACTGATTAACAACTGAGTTTGCTCGTATTCTAACCTTCAGAACTGATTAACAACTGGGTTTTCGTATTCTAACATTCAGAACTGATTAACAACTGGGTTTTCGTATTCTAACATTCAGAACTGATTAACAACTGAGTTTGCTCGTATTCTAACCTTCAGAACTGATTAACAACTGGGTTTTCGTATTCTAACATTCAGAACTGATTAACAACTGGGTTTTCGTATTCTAACATTCAGAACTGATTAACAACTGGGTTTTCATATTCTAACCTCTTGAAATGATTAAAGACTTACTTTATTTTTTAATAGAGCCCACGACATTCGACAGGTAATTGCTTCAATTAGACCTGTAAATCTGGGGATACAGTATTCGCATTCCTATGTCACAGATTTTTATGATGGTAAGTGTTTTACAAATGACTTCTTTAAGCCACGTGTCAGTAGGATTAACTAACACATTTTTTATATTTAAATAGGATCTTGGAAACATTTTTTCATATTTTTTTTTTCGTTTACACCTAGTAGATCATATTATGGAACCAAATATTAGGGTAGTTAAGTAAAATAGTTCTGTATTAATAGATTGTTCTTGAGATAACGTAAATACAATCTCACGTTGTTCAATAGATATCGCCTGGACTTTTCTAGTTGTACTTGATACTGCAACTTGAAGTTATACTGGTAACAATATTCGAAATATTATGACCTTATTTTTATCTGCCAACAATCATATTGTAACTTTAAGCTATCCTGGTAACAATGCTTAGAATGTTTATAACTAACATGTCTTTGAAATAGTCTTCAGAATATTGAAACCTTAAGTTATCTTGAAAATAATCCTCAGAAGTTTGCAACCTTGATTCATCCTTGTAACAATCCTCGAAATATTGATACTTTGGAAAAAAAGTCGTCCGAAAATAAACTTCAGAATATTATAAAAATTCAGTTGTCTTGGGAACAATTCTGTGTGCATTACATCTATGAGTTGTCCTCAGAATAACGTAGCACTAAACTAGTATTAATGAAAGGGAAATGTATCGCTTGACCTCTTGAAAAATTTTGTTTACCTAATATTTGTATAAGGTCCTGTCATTTTTGTAAACAAAAGTAAATTCTAACCATATTTCAAATTAATAGTAATTGTCCTATAGAAATTGTTAGTTTTATATTACTGGTATTGGTTATACGAAACTTAACAAATTTGACATTGGAAATATATTTTTGTACTTTTTGCTAGCTCCTCGCGATTACGGATTCAAACTTCGCTATGAAGTGGTCCAAAGTAATGTTTCCTGGGTTCCTCGTGCTGGAGTATTTGATATAAGTCACAACACTGGTCCTTATATCGACTTTCCAATAAGGGTAAAGCTTCAGTTACTTTGATAATGTAGAATAAAGTTTGTTTTTTGTAGTTGTTGTTTTTTTATCGAGATGGATTAGACATATAATCTTCCTGTAAAAAATGGACTTCTAAACTCCAGTTAGCAGTGTTATTTATTATTCTGATAACACTACTACTTATTAGCCAACTCCAATATCTGTATCAAAAGACCAGAATACTCTATAAAAGTAATATATATAAGGACAAGGGATTCGGAAAGTGTAAGAAATATTTACCTAAAATTGTCAAAATAATGAATTATTGAGTACAAATAATCATAGATTGGATAAGGACTTCTAGAGTTATCACAGTTCGGTTTTAACACTACTGACATGGTAAAGGGTGAATAAACACATAATTACAAATATTCTATATACACGATGGCTCTTTTCACGAGAGTGTCTAAGTAGTTTCGTTTTGACTCCGTAACGTGAAACATCACAAACTTTACTCAGAAGTGCTATCGCTCAAGTTCGCGATAGAAGGTCGCAACAAAATATTGGTTGAAATATTTCCTTAACAATCTTCAAATCATTATCATTATTATAAATTAAAACTAGGATAATAGTAAGACATTACTCTATACCCAAATATAGATATTTAAATGGGAGCATATTGAAAATTTAAGTAATTGAAGAAGCTACAACAACATAGTTTTTTATATAATTGATTGGACTTCTTCCCCTACTTGTGCACTGTAAAAATAAAAATATTAGTTTTAAATAGTTGTTGAAGTTAGTTTAGAATCCTTGTTATTAATGCGTTTATGTGATTGTTGTTTGTTTTGCGAATCTCCAAAAACATTTCATTTATCCTAAAATCAAATAAACTGAAAATCAATACAAAATCAAGTATGAAAAACTTTATCATACGGTAATTATCTATTCTAGGCAGGATTTTCTGCTAAAGGTGTGGATCAGATTATAAAGAATATTCTGGATAAATCCTCAATATTATCAGAATTGTACTCCTCTTTGTGGCCAAAATACTACAGGAAAGGTACCATACATGACGAGATCGGGAGAATTAGAGAGAAACTGAACGTGGATATCAGAAACCCCGAAGATCCAAAAGCAGTCCTATTCTACACGTTGTTTGGTCGGACCACATATATTCCTGTGGATAAGGAATACGCTCTAGAAGCTCTGGAGTCAGGTAACATTCAGAAAATGAAACAACCCTATAAATCTCAAATATTTCAGTAAAACTCCTGTGTACAATGAAAATGTCAATATTCATTGACAATTAAATTATTACTAGAACCAATGTAAAATTATACGTTTTTTTTCGAAACGAACGTGTTGTTTATATAAAAATTTAAACTATAACTTAATAGAATAGCTTGTGTATTATTTACACACACATGAACAGTCAGACCGTAACAGCTTCCATAATATGACGTACCCACTTATATTTGCATCAGAGTTAGCGATTATGCAAAATTTAGAGAAACTAAATAAGTCATGGTAATCCGAGCGCTTTCAGACCTTCCTTCTAAAAGGGTGAATTAGGAATGAGGAGAATGGTGAACTATTTGAAAGCTCTCGAGTTTTGGGTCTCGTTTGAAAACATTACAACTTTTGTATGTGATCCTGAGTGCTAATTTCAATTAACATTAAATACGAAATTTAAAATTTTTATAAAGAACGAAACCTTTGAAATCGACTTTTAGAGATATTTGGACTTTGTAAAACTGACCCAGTTCTTGTTTACATTTCACATTTAATCTATTAACCCTAGCATTGTTTTTACAGGTATATAGGTTTCTTCTATGTCAACATAGTAGCTTCGAGCTCATGGTTGTATGACACACACATATCAGACACGATATAGATTTTAATAAGGTTTAATTTTATAAAACATTTTATGATTTTTGAAACCAATCTTTTGACATATCATAGAAGAAGAAATTTGATATTTTTGCAGTCATCGAATATCACAGAGAAATACAGGAAAAAATTAGAAGTGGGGTTAGTGGTCATTACGTGAAACTGATTACACCAGCAGGTATATTTAAAGTTGTTCCATCTGAAATTGGTCTTCCCTTGCTCATTTCCCACCGACGCCCTATTATCTTCTCTCTCCACATCAAGAACACTCGTATTCTATCGACTTCTTCATCAGAAGGTCACCCTACCACCTGGAAGATCGCAGCTCACATCCGTCCAAGGTACTCGTTTAGATTAGAATAATAATTATGTTTTCAGGAAAAAAAATTTTTTCAATTTTATAAGGTTTCATCAGTAAATAATTGTTTTCTTTTATTTGTACGAATTAGTCTATTTTTTATTTTCTGTAATACAAATGTTTTTATTTTCTTATTTAGCATATTTTACTCGTCCCATATTTTCGGCATCATCGTTAATCCTGCCGAGCAGAAGATGTACGGGGCCACGATATCCAGTCTGAATCACGTGACTTTGCCGATAGATTTTAGTTTGACAGTAAAACCACGTTCAACTCTAAGTATTTCCGTCAAGCCAAACTTTTCCAAGGTTTTCTATCATAAGAGTGACGCTGGAACATTCATCAAGAAATCCACTCTTGATGTACCAGTTTCGGAGAACTTCTTGGGAAATTATGTCCCTATCCGAACACTACCCATCCCTCTGAAGGTAATTTTTTCCTCAAAGAGTAGACGAGGTAGATATTCATTTTATTTTAATATACTTTTTAATATTTGACAATCATCATGTTGAATTGATTAATACGTGGTGAGAGTCAGAGTAACTGCTGCAGAAAGTTTATATATCCAGCGGAGAAACGATAAAAAATATATTGATGGAATGGATTTACTTTTCGTAAGTTGATAACTCATTACGGGTAGCATAATTTGAACTGCCTATATTCACTAAACGTCTTTTAATGTGTAATCAACGTTAATACCACTTTTGTCTGCAGTAAAAACTCTTCAGTTCTCATGAATGGGAAACTGATAATTGTCATCAGGGGGTTGATCTATATTTATATCTGTTTGACCGAGACAAAAATCGTAAGCAGTTCCTGATTTTAATCCACTGCAAGAAAGAGCGTATTTAGATTTAAGAAAAAAAACTAAACTTGTTTAGGAACCATGAACCTGTGTTATATTTACAATGTTCTCAGTATTATGTTGTTTAGCTTCATATATTTTGTTCTCTATAGAAATATTGATGTTATCTCTTTACAAATCAGTAATGAAAAACTAGTTTCAATTTGTTATACAATAATTATTTATAAACATCAATTTACTGACAATAGATAACCGTCAAAAATTAAAAAATTACCAAAAAAGACTAATGTAATACATCTATAACTTATAATATCTAGAAAATCACAATATTCTGCCCTCATTAAAAAAGAATCAAACATGCAGAATGACTATAAATAAACTGCCGTATTCAAAATTTCTGTACATAATAAAAACTACTTGCCTAGGGGAACAAAATTTTCTCTGGAAGTACAGTTTTTATAGATAAGTTTGGACATAGTGTGAAGAGCTATAAAAGCATATTATACTGTATATTTAAATCGCTTATCTTGCAAATTCTCACTGATTTTATTATTATTTCTGCTGTCTTTCAATAACACGAGAGTAGTACTTTGAATATAGTCGTGCGACTGTACTGTGACTGTGCTATCAAAACAATGGGAGTTTACTTTAGCCAAAGACAATTCCAAAGACAAAATAACGTCTACTTTCCTGAGGTAACTAGGTACTACAAAGATGTTCCTCGTTGAAGGTGGCCATCTTTACCTATGGAAACAGTAGCGGTGGTTGCTCAGAACATCAAAACCCAAGTTAAGAAACGTTTTTGTTTTTTTTGGTTTTGTTTTTTGAGGCCGAAAGGGGAAACTAGCTGCTAGATAACTTGATCCGATACAAATTGCAGTGTGTAAAATAATAAAGCTCGAAACTTATAACTTAACACGCCTGCATGCTGTTAAGGATGGAAACCCAGCTTTGCACATTGGGTTTTAATGTGATCAATGATAAATGAAATATTTTTTGGATAAATGAAGTCCACCATCATCTTAGTGGATATGTCAACTCAGGAAATTTTGTCAAATTCAATAATAAAAAATTACACACACTGTTCACCAAAATACGAAACCCTATAACTAGAACACTTTCGAAAGGTGGACTTTCTTTATCAGGAACAAATGAGGGAACCTCAGTTTGCCCCTGGTGAGGAGAGGTCCACCTTTCGAAAGCTTTCGGGATATAGTGTTTCGCATTTTAGTCTTTAACTGATTCGTTTTAACCTACTTATTTTCTTATTAAATTGAATGGGCCTTAAGCTATTGTATAGAGCTGCTTCATCACCATTTGTATCACCGATCATTACTCCTTGAAACTGTTCATGAAACCGACTGTAGCTGAACTTTTTCCTTAAAGAAAGTCCATTAAAAGAAACGCACGCCTGAAGAAAAGATACGTTCCACTAAGATGAGAAACTTTTCGTGTCTATGCTCCCGTTAAAAAGGCTTCTAACAAACAAGTTTCCTTCCTAAAGACAGGATCATGAGGTGTTCATTCAAGCGAATGACCTGCAAGAATCCTGGGCTTGCTTCGAAGGGAATGCCTTTCAAAATAGCCAAGAAAAATTGAAGGATCTGAAAACAGCTATCAGAAATGATAATGTGAGGATTCAGTGAATGCTGTTCAAAATAGAAAATTCTGGCAATACTTTCATTTGTAGGTAGAATGCTTCTAAATATTATATATTTTTACAATCATCTTCCATATTTACATCTATAATTCTACGTACATGGAAGATAAGTATATAGACATATGTTGAATGTAAATAGTAAATTTCTTCTTCTCAAGTACGACCGAAGAATAGGCCACAACGCACTTGGGTTGGGATTCTCTGTACGGGGTTTATCCGAGACAATCTGGTCAGACACACCGTTCTACCTGAGCCCTACTACAACACAAAAGGGTTACTTAGCTGGTTTAATGGAAGTGATTAACAACCCAGGAAAGAAATACAGAGAGTTTTCTGTCTGGATCGATCAAGACCATCATCAGCCAATCACAGAGGTAAAATCTTGTTGTAACATTTCTTAATAAAACGAACGAGACATCTACTCATTTGTTTAACTTTTTCATAGTTATACTTAAGGGAAATGCTATCTTGTCAATCAGTTGTTTTTGTCAGTCCAAGCTTAGAATAATATCGTAATATGTAATGGTATGTTCTTCAACACTGTATAATATTGGTTCGTGGAAAAAAAGTACTATATATATATATATATACACTTAAGAATGAAATCTTAATCAAAACGTTCGGAAATAAGTTATTTTTATCAAAGTTTCATAACGATGATATCTTTCGACAAACTGGTAAACCATCCTTGAATAGCTTCCTTTAACGAACTTTAAACAGTAGTTTGACATGACTGAGTCGTTGATTAGTGCTTATGCTGAAATATTTCTCAATGGTTAGGTAACTTGAAGATAAAACTGAGTAAGTAAGAAGTAATGTGATTTTATTGTCAGAATATACTGTTTAGCCATGCTCTCTATTCTAAAGGTGCAAACTAAACAAATTAATTATCACAAAGAACTAATTTATTCGGTATCTTATCAGTTGAAATTTAGACAAAAAAAGACCCTCAAATAACCAACTGAGCACCGTAGTTTTAATTTAGCTGATTAAAGTATAAAAGACCCTCAAATAACCAACTGAGCACCGTAGTTTTAATTTAGCTGGTTAAAGTATAAAAGACCCTCAAATAACCAACTGAGCACCGTAGTTTTAATTTAGCTGGTTAAAGTATATTGTTTCATTTTGTATTAACAACTGTAAATGTCCCTACTTAATGTTTTATATATACGTTTCTAGTGCTTTTTTAGATATCAATCTAGTGATATAACAATCATTAAATAATAGTTCATGAAGAAATATATGTCTGATTTGTCAACGTAACTTAAAAGTAGCACGGATTAATTAATTATCTTACAAACCACTTTTTCCAGTATACAATTACTACTCATTATGAATGGTCGGAATCTAGAGAAGATAAAGAGGTGAATTATGATAGCGTTCCCACGCGCTGGTTACAAAACCTTCAATTCAGGGATGATTATGCACCGTATTTCCCTGAAGTAAGCATGAAGAGAGCCTACCAATCCATTTATGGGTCCAATTACACTATTCCCTCCTTGAGAAAAAAAGTCCACAACTTGTTTTCTAAGACTCATCCTTTCTGGAAATCCTACAAACCAACAATGACTCCAATCGATGCGGTAGACGCATCTGTTAGCCACAGTGTGTCCGTTGTAGTTGAAGGCAAAGGATCAAGTCCAGTAACTTATCTTATGGATCTCACTTTCGGTTACACTATTGACCACAGGATTAGCATGACCCGAGCACACTTGCAAAAGTCTACGTCTGGACCGTACGATTCACAGCCATATGAGGTATATATATTTTTACTTGCGTATATGTGAAAATAATATATTGGTCATCATTTTACTATTGGATTAACGCAGTTTTTTAGAAGATTCAGAGAGCCAGTTTAAATATCAGTGTGTTAAACTAATTTGGACGAGAGTATGGTATGTTTGGAGTTTTATCGATTTAACATAATGTATCATAGCTTCGATTCAATTTGTAATAGATACAGTTGTAAAATGTTTTGTGATGTGAGAACGTAATAAGTCGTATAATAAATCAAATCAAAGTGCTCTTTACTAATTTGATCTTGCTGTAGTGTTATACGTATAATATATATATGTTTTACTATTAAATGTCATATCCTGCCAGCTAACATTATCACTTGTTACTAACTTGAAGAACATCAAGTTGTATCATAGATGTTTTGTGACACATCCCTCCAAGTTAGTCCATTAAACATTATAAATGAAAAGCGTATAGAAGCATCTAAAATATATCTTTTGTCCGCCGTAAATCATTGGCTGGGAAGCATTTTTTTAATACCAGATCTCGTCAGACAAGGTATAGAAATTCAACACTGGTTTTAAGACGATTTTGCTATGTTCACCTGCATTATTTTGTTCGGATGTTTAACGCTTAGCTAAATTGTGAACGTGTTCTAAGGGAAGGGTGGGTTACACACATTAGACGACAGATTGTGAAACATTATAAGGGGTGCGAGACAGACATGTTGTTGTAACTCAGTTGTATGAAAATAAGTTACTTGAAAGCTTCCATTTGTAATTTAATAATAATCACACGTGCTAGAATTTGAATAAAAATAAATAATAATAGTTTTATAAGCAACAATATACAAGTACACACTTTAATTGATATTGTTATCTAACTCGTGGATCGTATATTCTTAGATTCTACATTAGAAGCATGTTATAGATATAAATCTATAGATATGAACGCAAATTGTAGTGATCTTAACAAATATATTTCTAGGTGTCTATAGACGGCGCTACTGTCTACCCACATGTACCAAATGAGTTCTACTTCGATCCAAGCTCAACCCAGGAACAACATACTCGATCAAAGTATGAGATAAGATGGGGACCAAAATTTTCTTCAGAAGGACAAATTCATATCACTGTAAATATTACATTTTCTGTGTCTTCTTACAAAATTCGTGGAAAAAAAACAAACACGATTAAAGTTAGATCTAAATATTTCTATATATAACAGCTGAGTTTTTCGCCTGTAAAGTCAGTTTTTTTTCTTCTCAGAATGATTAATACATTAGTATATCTTATATGGTTTTTATTTAAATGTTTGTCTCGTTCATTACAAGTGTTAGAATTAATATGTATTGTGGTATAGTACAAACATAAGTATATCACCTATGTTTGTATTTTTCATATATTTTCCTTACTTTGTGGTTAATACAATTATAATCAGAAGTTTGATTACTTTTTTAACTACACTGCTATACTTATTATGCTAGACATCGTTTTGACCAAATTAGTAGATTTGAAAGGCAAAGAATGTCTCTAATACACTAGTTGTAGTAGACTTTAACATTCTTATCCATAATAATAATAATTACCCTTCATTTAGAATTTATGTATAATACCTTTAAATGGAACCTTTTTTCGAAGCTTTTTTTATATAATTATAGAATTTGGTATTGATAAAATATTAGTGTCGCATAGCTTATTCGACTAAGTTCATGGATTTCTTTTTTATTTAGCATATTGCCAAAAAGAGCCGTGAACAGCTAAACAGTCCCGTCGACTCAAGCTCAATTCCCATTAGTGTATCCACAGTCGCTGGAATTGCAGGTATTGGTGGTCTTAGTGAACAGCGCCCTTTACCATGGTACTACAAGCAGTGCACCATTGATACTCATGATGGAAAGAGTCAAAGTTACCCTTGCAAGCTTGCTATTGAAGACAGCAGCATGTTGAATAATATTACTACGATTATAAGTTATAGCGATGTAAGTATTTGAAATCTTAATTTTTGGATGAGATTTTTACGGGTTATAATATACTTTGAAGAAACAGCAAAATAATTTTGTTTTACTAGCCTTAACCACAAAATTGTGATATTTGTTGATCTTAACCAAACTAGTGAGATCCTTTTTCATTTTAGAAATGCTCTTTACTAAAAACACGTCAATGATAAAATTTGATATACACTCTTAACCATGGAACATTCGTACGCTATGTAAACTCAATTGCACTTTCGAAAGAGCAAACTTATGTAAGAGTTGACAAGTAGAGGCATCTTAGTTATAAATGTAATCAGTTAAGATTCCATTGTAGAGAAGGAACATTCAAGCCGCCTCTTAAGCAATCTTCAAACTTTAATTGGTAAAATGTGTATCCAGATCCGGATTTATGGGAAGGTAACAGGGATATTTGTCTAGGGCCTTGGTTAAAATACATAATTAATTTGTTTGTTTTCAAATCACTATTTCACAGTTTCAAAACCAATTCATTTCCTAAATCTGGATTATTTATTTTCAAAATTAGGTAACTTTTACAGTGGCAGAATAGAATATTCACACACTAAACTATGAGAATTAACTCCAAACGGAAATTAGGAGGAGGGTCTGTTCGGGTTCTTTTTCTTGGGGCCCATAACACCTAAATCCAGCTCTAAGTGTATGGTAAGATTTAACGTAACTAAAAAAAAGTGGGAAAAGTCAAAGCGATATCCTATTATTAGCTTTTTGATAAAAGAGTTAGCACAAAGGGTCACATATAAAGTGTAATAGAC